GAGCAGTCTTGTGGGATGGGGCCCCCAGCCTGTGGGATCTGACTCTAACTCTGGGTAGATAATGTCAGGATTGAATCGAATTAGAGGACACCCAGCTGGTGTCCACTACAGAATTGCTTGGTTTGTTTTTTTCTTCAGAAGGACTGAACAGTCAGTTTCTGAAACAAATTTCCACCCTTGCCCCCAAAAGGACAAACCTTGGCTATCAAGCAGGTTGACAGCACAACTGTAATAATTATTGCTTTTGTGTCTTCAGCATCTACCATGGCCAAGACCTTGGTCTAGATTCTTTATATGCATTCTTTTATTTATTCTTCACTGAGGCCGTCTGGCTGGGAGTATTTCTGCTGTCTCAGAGACGAAGAAGGGCGGGCACAGGAATGCTGTGTGACTTGCCCAGAATTACACAGAGAGCGAGGCAGCTCTGGGTTCGGACTGTCCTATTCTGGAGCACATGCTGCACCGCTCCTGTTACTGCCCAAACTGGGTCCTATTGCCCACTGCTCAAAAGGAAGCCAATACACTGAGACAGCAGGGGTTGCAGCAGAGAAAGAGTTTAATATTGCAGGGTGTCAGGTGAGGAGATGGGAGAAATTTCTCAAATCCATCTCCTCGAGAATTATGGGGCTATGGTTTTTAAAGATAGTTTGGTGAACAAAGAGCTGTGGAATTGGGTCTGCTAATTGGCTGGGGATGAGCTTATAGGTTTGGGAAACAGAAATCGTATTCTTGGCTGAGACAGTTCCTGGGTAGAAGGTTGCAGGACCAGCTGAGTCAGTTCCCACATATGCCCACTGGTCCAGTTGACATCACTTGGTCCCCCCAAATGCAGAGTCTGGAAGATATCTAAAAGACCAGTCTTAGGTTTTACTTCTTTTTCTTTTTTTAAAAAAAAATTAATTTAATTTAATTTTTTTTAAATTAAAAATACCCCCCGAAGATTCCTCCAGGACACACTCAACAGACTCTGCAGCGGTGACCAGAGGGAGGCGCTGGGAACGGGGATGACAACCACCGCTGGGCTTCAGGCACCTTGGCAAACAATCTGGTGAGCTCCAGGGCCATGCTTGTGATGGGGCAGCAGAACGGTCCTCTTCCCCCCCTCCCCCCGCTGTGGGGAGCGGTGCCCGCAAGACAATAACCACAAGGGGCCAGCGATGGCTGCCCGCTGTGTCAAGAGGACCACCGATCCCCGCAGACGCCACGAGGCCAGTCTTTGGTTTTACGATAGTGATGTTATCTGCAGAAGCAACTGGACTCTTAAGCAGTTAGCAACTACAGGAAGGCAAGCTAGGTTACCATGGCTGGTTAACTTTTAGTATGTCTATACTTCTGTGGGAATCAGACTTTTACCATAGTGCTTCCTTATGGCCTTACAGTAATATGGGCAGTTTCACGCCTGTGTTTCTGTAAGAGCAGGTACCTGAGCACTGGGCACTCCTGCGAGGGCTCTGGGGGCCAGGACTGCCAAATGCATGAACAGGGGGAGCAGAGCAGCAGCAAAAATACTTGATGTAGAAGGTTTTATAGTCCCATAAAAGCGTGTACTGCGAGTCCTGTGCAGGGAACATACACCCAGGGCTCAGAACGGCAAAGTAAGAATTGATCTGGATTTTTCTTGCTCATCTTGGTTGTCAGCACATCCTAGGAAACCTTTGCTTTTATTTCACTCCAAGCTCAGAGACCAAGATTCGAGATGAAAAGGTGGTGGGTTTTCGGGGGTAGTCACAATTAGGAGGACGCTTCTGAGATTTAATTGCATCTCATTTCTAAGGCGAGGCTCTCCCAGGGAGCCTGGGCATCTGCCTTCCAGGGCCAATTTATGACCATAGTCCACAGGTTTCTCTCTCTTGCCCAAGGCCCCCACAGAAACAATTCAGGTGTGAAGCTGCCCGGACTACACAGCAGAACCCAGGATTGCGGTGAACATCAGGGCCAAAGAGAAGATGAAAAAATAATAATAAAACAACAAAGCAGTGCTTGTCCTGCAAGTCCCAGGGAAGGAAACCAGAACTGGGTACTTACTCGATATCTTAGGAAATCAAGTTTGTTAAAGGTTCAAGTGAGGCCAGAGAGAATTATGAATGAAGGTGGCAAGCTACAAATCAGAGTTGAATACTAACTGGCTGGGGTTACTTAGCAGGGCTGTGATAGGAAAACAAAATGATGAAAGCGAACACCAAACTGTGACCCCTGTTGCTCAAACAGTCCCCGCCTGTCATCTTAAGATCACGTCCTTCTCTAGTCTTTCCAGTGTTGCTCGTAACTTACAGGCTCTAGACGTCCTCAAGTTGTGTTATCTTTGGCGTTTGCTATGGTCTAAATGTTGGTATCCCCGCTCCCCAATTCACGTGTTGGAACCGAATACCCAATGTGGTAGTATTAAGAGGTAGGGCCTCTGGGAAGTGATTCAGTCCTGGGGGCGCCACCCTCACAAATGGGATTAGTGTCCTTATGAAAGAGGCTTGAGGGAGCTCCCTTCCCCTTCTGCCACGGAAGACACAGCAACAAAGCGCCATCTATGAAGCAGAGAGCAAGGCTTCACTAGACACCAAACCTTTATCTTGGACTTTCCAGCCTCCAGAACTGTAAGAAGTAAATTTCTATTGCTTATAAATTACCCAGTCTAAGGCAACTTGTTATAGCAGCTTGAACGAACTGATACAGGGGTGTTGGCCCTGGCATTCTGGGCTTACTGTTCGTGGTCCTTGTGCACATTTTGGCAAGAAGGTAGGCTTATACACCGAAAGAGCAATAATACTTTATTTAAAATATATACAAAATTATTACTTTGAAACATATATATTACTGTCCAACATATATCATATAACACTGAATTATGTAAAGTTTGGTACCTTTGTTCATTCGGTTTTGTGATTTCTCTTTTGCTCAAGGCTTCTGAAGAAAATTATCTGAAATGCCCACCAGAGGGGAGGTGCCCATGGGCTTGGTCCCCTTGGTGGCCTAGCTGTGCTCTTGGACACTGCTGTGGCCCTGAAGCCCTGCCCCAAGGGAGCTGAAGGCAAATCCTGGCCTTGCTGGGGCACTGGGGACTCAGAATTGATGGGACTCACTTCAACCAATCACACACCAACTGCTCATGTTCTCTTTCTCTCTCCCCCACCCCCATCTGGGTATAAAAGGAGGGTGGACTTGGTGAGCACGGGTGTCAATTATTTTCTTAACCCTTCTCTGGGCTTAGAATAATCTAAATTATGTTCTTCTCTTCACCCTCCTTTCTTCCCTGCCCTTGTCACCACTACCATGGGGAGGGAATGAGAATAGGAGCCAGCCTCTTAATATCTCTTAGAAAGAAATAAGAAGTAAAACAAAAAAATGGAATTTCTGTGCTCTTAGGCCGCTTTTGAGTTACCATTATCCTGAGATAAATCAGACAACTGCTTTTAGGCACAGTGCATGCCTCATTCATCACTGCCTCCCCACAGTGCCTTACATCTAGTAGGCACTTAATAAATGCTCATTGCACGGAGGAACAAATGATTTCAGGGGATCTGGTTAAGCACGGGTAGGAAACACACGAAGTGGGGTTTACAATCAGAGCGCTGGAGAGATGAGAGGGATGTTGGAGATCATCTCGACCTGCTTTCTCAGTTGGTGAACCGGGTAACCGAGGCCCAGAGCAGTGAGGTGAAACGAACAAGGTCATAAGAGGAATTCCTGATAGAGTCAGACCTGGAATCCAATTTTCTAAATTTCTCCTTAAACTTCCACTCTCCTCAGATCTGAAACTACAGAGAGAGCTCAGTGGATGCAATGCTATGCCCTGAACTCAGGACACTCATCTCCCAACATCAGAAGCTCCTGGTGGTGGCAGGTGGCCGAGTGTAGGGTGCAAGCAGAAAGGTCCCCTCTGGGCAGCTTCACTCCTGGGATCCAGTCCTGGGCGGGTGGACCAGACAGCAGCAGCGGGTCTGAATGAGGTAGGAGGAACACCGAGACCGATGGGGACCGCCCCATGGGTGGGGTTTGCTCATTCTGCCCCTGCAGCGGTGCTAGGGCTGAAGGGCACTGGGTGGCTCACAAAGGCTCTGGGGCCCCAGGACGTCCAGAGGGAACGTGTAAACAAGGCCCAGCGACTGACCACTTCTGACACTGAAAGCAGGTCACTGCAAAGACTTGCTCAATGCATGGATTTCAGGGGGGCGTTTTTTCAGCACACTGGAAACATAGGAGAAAAGAAAGGGAAAGAGGGAAGGAGCCAAGGGATTTTCCCGCACACAGGGAAGCTGAGAGGCTTTGGGGCGCAGGGATGGGGTAGGCCGGCCCAGGTCAGGGGGTAATGGGTATGGGGGACATGCATGAGTGTCCAGGTGTGCTTCTCACTTCAGCTGAGTTGCCCCAGAACATTCTCTGGGCTTTGAGCCACTCAGGTCTCCCATGCACCACACCAGGGAAATCAAAAGCACAGGAACTCACTCTGTGTCCCAGTGTGATTTTGGTTTCTTCTAGAAAGAATGATTTGGCATGGCCAGAGATGCACATTTGACAAGGTAAAAGAACCTTGCGTGATTCCCCATATGCCACAAACATGAATGATTGAGGGCAGGTGTCAAAAAGGGAATGGTAACCCACGAGCTGGTACCTACTTGAGTTTCTCACCTCAGAACATGGTACCACCGGCTGTCTCTGGAGCAGGTGCAGAGGGAGCTCGGAGGCAGGATTGAGCTCTTGGGACAGACCCCGCTCCTGGCCCACCCTCAACAGCTTCACTCCCTGCCTACCCCTAGTCCCTGACTTTCTGCCCAACTTCTGCACTCCCCACCCCACTCCATTTTGCCTTAACTACCTTGCAGTTCCCATTAGACCCACTCATGGCTCCTCCGCAATGAGAAACAAAAATAATTCATCTTGCCAAAATTTGAAATTTGGGAGCCGCAGCTCATCTGGTAACACATGAGTACCTTTGTGCTTAAACAGCCACCACGAAGTGCAGACTACGACAAACGTGCCAGGGACGAGCGCGTCCTGGGACCCGGTGGCCGGCCCTCCCTAGACAGCAGACTGGTTCTCGTTGCACACATAGACTGTGCTCGGCCGGATTCTCCTCCGGATCCGCTCAGGCACTTTGGGAAGGATCTGGAAGGTTTGGGGCAGCAGCTCTATGCAGGCCTCACGGAATTTTTTGATTCTCCAGCAGTAGACGATGGGGTTGAAGACGGACTTGAGGTAACTGAGCCACAGAACGCAGGTGCTGGTGGCGTAGTAGGAGGAGCCGTAGTAGAAGCGCCAGCTGAACACAGACAAGAGGCTGTAGACCGAGTAGGGCAGCCAGCAGAGGGAGAAGCCCACGAAGAGGATGAGGATGGTGGTGAAGGCCTTGGTCTTGAAGCTCAGGTCCACGCTGACCTGGTGCTGGCGCTGCAGCCGCCGCCGGCCGGCGCGGGACAGCTGCCGCAGGTCCAGGCTGTCGGACTGGTTGTGCACGCGCACGGCGTTCTTGCGCACCGTGTTGAGGATGCACGTGTAGGCGCACAGCATGACGCTGAAGGGCACGAAGAACACGGCCGCCACCAGAGTCACCACGTAGGCGCGGGCGGCGGGGAACTCGGTGTAGCCCAGCACGCACTGGGGAGCCCGCGCGGGCACCTCCACGAACGTCGGGCCCAAGAGCGAGGGGACCGAGACGCAGAAGGACAGCACCCAGGAGACGGCGATGATCACCTTGGCCCTCCGCGGGTTCAGCTTGTCCTGGCGCTGCACGATGATGAGAAAGCGGTCCACGCTGATGATGAGCAGGATGGCCACGCCCTCCAGGACAAAAAACCAGTAGAGAGTGGCCGAGAGGCGGCAGAAGCCGTCCCCGAAGTGCCAGCGGACAGTGATGAGGGTGACGGCAGTGAAGGGCATGCAGCATACGGACAGCAAGATGTCGGAGAAGGCCAGCGTGGCCAGCAGCAGGTTGATGGCAGAGCGCATGGCCGGCCTCTGGTACACGATGACGCAGACCACGGTGTTGCCGAGGAAGCCGACCACGATCATGAGCAGCATCACCACGGCCAGCGTGATCCTGAGCGGGGCGGGCAGGGCCGTGGCCCCAGCGTCCGTCGCGTTGCTGGCGTTCAGCAGCAGGTGTTGGTAAGTATCGAGGGACGTGCTGTTACAGGCCATCTTGGAGAGACACTTGGAGCCGGGACGCAAATGGCCAAGGAGGGGTGACCCTCAGCGCTTTGGTGGCTGCCATCTTCTGTCTGTCAGCTGCATCTTCTTCCTCGATGTCGTTGGAGCTCTAGGGCACTGGAATGGTGGTCGGGAGAAACGTCTTTCTTTGGGAGCACTAGCTGGGTTTTGCAATTCATGGATCACATCCTGGTCATCTCTGTGGCAACTGATTGTGCCCACAGCTTCCCACTTGGACACTTTGTAGCCTAGAGCAAGCAAGAGGACAAAAGAGAAGGGAGTTAGTTCTTCCATGCACATATTGAATAGCGCACACATTTAAATTTCACAGGTATCCCTCAGCACTAGAGTGGGAAGAATGACTCATTTAGTTACCATTTGGGACAAAGCGTGGTATTCACAAATACTGTCTGAGTCTTGTCAAGCAGCCCAGGCAAACCTGATCAGCTCTATTTTGGGGGACTAAGGAAGTAGATACTTTCTCATTAGCACTTATGTAATAACTTGAGTTTTAAGCAACCTAGCTGAATGAAGCTCCATTAGAATGTCAGCTTCATGAGGGCAGGGCTTTTATCTGTTTTACATTCTGCATCTCCTAGCACCTAGTACTGTGCCTGGCATACAAATAGATACTTGTCGAGTTGATGAATAAGTGATAGTTGATGCTGCTGCTATATTTGTTTAACTTTTTAAAAAACCCCACTTTATTGAGGAATGACTGACATGTAAAAAGCTGTGCAAATTTATGTCTCAATACACTGTGAAACCACCACCACGAAGGCCACAGACATATCCATCACCTCTCAAAGTTTCCTCCCACCCCTTTCATTATTATTATTTTACTTTTGTGGTAAAAACAATGAATATAAGATCTACCCTCTTAGCAAATTTTAAGTATCTATATATATTTTAATTAAAAAATTAAGTCTATTTGTTTCACTTTATTTGAAATAAGTATAAATTCACATATAAGAAATAGTATGGTGGGCTCCATATACCCTTCAAGTTGTTTCCCTGATGGTAACATCTTGGATAACTGTGATGCTGCTGTAATATTACTTTTGGAGACACTGATGGGGAGAAGGGGACTCTCCCCGAAGACAAGGCCTTTTAAGATATGATGTTAATTTTTATTTTGTTTTTCATAGTATGGCAAGAATAGCATTCAGGAGCTCAGGTCTGCAGTCAGATGGCCCGGGCTGGGTGAGATCCAGCCTGCACCATTTATCCATGCCTTGACACCTTCCAGCTGACTTCTTCATCTGGAGCACATGGATGCTAATCAGGACTAGGACAGTCTCCCTGCGGGCCTAGGTTGCTCCCCAGCCCTCCTTGGTTTCCCTTCCCCAGGCCTCACCTTTGATAACAGTCCCTTCAGTATCTCTCTTTATGAATCAGGGTCTAAACTCTTTCCTGCCTCCACCCTGACTGATACAGAGGTCATGGCAAACTGAAGTTACGAGGCAACAGAAGCTAAGAGTAAGCAGATACTAGGAGGCAGAGGAAAGTTATGTGTGTGTGTATGGAAACAAGGGCACAGAAATCTACTTCAGTTCCTGAAAGGCTTCCAATTCCAGCTGGATTTCCATATGTGCATTTACAATATTTATTCCTTCCTTTGTTTTTAATAGAATTTTTAGCTTTTCGTTTTCATCTAATCTCTTACCCTCCCCTTGCCATCACCTCTCAGAGACAGCCTCTTTTTCTAAGACACAGGATCTTGCTATTGCCCAGCCTGGGCACAGTGGCTATTCACAGGTGTAATGTAGTGCACTACAGCCTCGAACACCTGGGCTTAAGTGATCCTCCTGCCTCAACCTCCCGAGTAGCTAGGACTAGAGGTACGTGCCACATGCCTGGCTTCAGAGACAGCCTCTTTGAGTATATTCTGGTCTGGGTTTTGCTGATGATAATGCCCATAGTGCTAGATGGTGAGCTCCCATCTTATTTCTTAATTTACTCACTTTATATCATCTGTGCCCTCACCATAGATAGGTGAAAGTTCAGCGTACCCTAACTACCTAACTACTCTCCTCCTAAGAATTGATGACTGATTATCATTGAAATAATTAAATTGAGTGCCATCATAACTATAAAAATGTACTTAGATGTCTGCATGGCACTCCATCAGATATGGACGCATGTCTTCACTCTACTCCGTATGATCCCTGATTGGTACCTCTTGTCTTCAGCCACCTCTTCCCTCTCCCTTTCATCAGCTATGCTTTAATTTTTACGTAGTTAAGGTCATTAATATTTGCATCCATCCTTTCCTGCATCTGCAACCAGATCTTCTGTGCTTTTTCCTAAGTTGACTCGAAGAGTTTAACTCCCACTAAAAGTACTTCTGTTTCATGGCTGTGTAATATTGCTCAGGGTGGGGTGGATTGTCAGCTGGAATTACATCTTCCTGACTGGTTTAGCCTTATGATCCTAGAGGGGTCATGTGTGCAAGGAGCACATTCCCAGCACTGAGGTTAAATGGAGTCTGTTCTCTTACCCATTGAAGCTTCAATGCTAAGAACAGGCCAGAGCACAGTTTATTTCATACGTGGTCCATGACTTTCTTGTACAGCTGTGTGTGTTTTCCTCGAGTTTCTTATTGCCTTTCTTCTTTTTCTTAGCGTTTATGTAGCTTTCCAGTCATGCACTCCTGCAGCTGGTCCTTTCTTCCCAAGGCTATCCCTCCTGCGGCCTCGGCCTCTGCTCCAGGTCTGGGCTCGCTGGGTGTGTGGCATAGCTGCCGTCCACAACTGCCCTTCACAGATCCCCGGGATCCACTTGTTCCTAAATCCTTTGTCATTTTCTCTCTGGCTTTCTTTTATTGTGCTGGCCAGCATCCTTAAACTACTTGCAAAGAAAGACTTTAGGGGAGGTGAGCTTTCTGAGTCCTCGCATATCTGAAAAATCCTTCTTCTGCCTTCCCCTGCACTAATGCTTTGTCTGGCTGTAGAACTGAGGCTGAAGTAACGTGCCCTCAGGAACTGGGAGGCATTGCACCTTCTAGCATCCAGCGTTGCTGGTATTAGATATGAAGTGGATTTGATTCTTTTCCTACATAGGCGAACAAATTTTTTTTCTCTTGAAGATTTGCTAATATTTTTGTTTTCCCTGAAACTGTTTGTACAAGGTGTACCTAGGTTTGGTACACTTGTCATGCTGGGTACTCACTCAGCGGGTCTTTTAAATCCAAATGCACATATATCCTGAGCCTGGGATAGTTTCTTCTTTCATATCTGGGGTAGTTTTCTTCCCTCTGATCTCTGGGAGGGTGCTTACTGGTCGTATGCCGGACCTCAGGCAATGGGCCTCAAATTTTCTTTCCTTTTCCCCTTTTTTTTTTTTTTTAATTTTTGCCTCTGTTTTTGGTCTCTGTTTATTCTATGTTCTGGGGGAATTTTTTTTTTTAATTTTACATCTAGTCCTATTTAATTTCTAATTTTGGCAATCATTTATAAAATCTAAGAGTATTCTTATTTTCTGAGCCTTTTGCATGGCATTCCATTCTTATTTATGTATGTAATATACTCTCAAAATTCTCTGAGGTTATTAGAGATTTTATTTTAGGTTCTCTTCTTTTTTTCTGAATTATATCTGGTTCCTCGAGGGTCAGTGCCTTGGCTTATCTTGGCCTTTCTCTTTAAAACTGCTACTCCTCCTCACGTGGCTGGTGGTTCCTGAATCTTGATCATGCTTGAGGCCTAAGGGCTGGGTCAGTTTCCCCCCAGCTCTCGCCCTGTGTGAGGTGACAAGCTCACTGTGGGTCAGGCCTTTCCTCAGGGTGAATGGGTGAGGAGCCAGCCCTCCAGCCGAGGGCTTCCCAGTGCCAGGACGAGTAGCGCTTCCCTCTGGAATCTCCCCATTCACATCACGAACCTTCACTGCCACCAACAGTATGGTCAGTACATTTACTGAAGAGTATTCTACTTTTTGACCTGGGGAAAAGAGGTAAGTGTCAACAGCCTGAACTTCATGGAGTGAATCCCTCTTTTTAAAAAATAGGGTTTGAATGGGTCTCTGTCTTTCCAGTGCAGATGTTAAATAAGTATTTCGTTTAGCATGTATATAAAGATTATACCAACCTCATCATTCATCTTTTGGAAGTGCTAAGTGTATAACAGGAGCTAAGAACCCAGTCCTGGATTCAGATAGTTCCTATGAACTGGTGATTTTGTTATTTAATTTCTCTAAGTCTTTGTTTCCTTATCTGTAAAACAGGGATAGCAATAGTGCCTACTGGAGGGGGTTGTTGTGACACGCACACGAAGGAATGGATCCAAGGAGCTAGGCACACAGCAGGCGGCCCGTTCGAGTTAGCTGCTGATTAATCTTCAATTCAAGGATGGAAGCTTCATTTAGCTTGGCAAATGAGTTTTAAAATGGAAGATGCTTTTGAGTTGTTAGAAATGTGTCATTCGACATGTACTTTGTTTAAAAATTACCTAAAAGTATGATAAAATTTAAAAACATAAGAATCTATTGAGTCAAAAATTTGACTAAATTTTCTTTTTACAGGTCTGATTTTTTTCCCCTTTGGGAAACAGTTGTATAATAATTTCAATAGGAAGCAGCTTCTGGCCCTTCCTTGTCACCTGGACAATCTCTCTAGGCCGTGATGATGGCCTAGGCAGAAATCAGCTGGGATTGGCTGGCAAGACCTCAAGATGAGCCAAAAGATACATTCTTGACCAACTGGAGACTCCTGACACAGGTAATGGTCCCAGAATCAAAGCATTGAAAGGAAACCCGAATGGCCAAATGAGCTGAGTAAACGTCTCTCAAAAGAAGACACATGAATGGCTAACAGGTATAGGAAGATGTGCTCAATATCACTAATCATCCAGGAAATGCAAATCAAAACCACGATGAAACATCATCTTACCCCATTTGGGATGCCTATTAATCAAAAAGACAAAAAATAACCAATGCTGGCAAGGATGTGGAGAAAAGGGAACTAGTACACAGTGTTAGTGGGAAAGTAAATGTACAGCCATTATGGAAAACAGTATGTAGGTTTCTCAAAAAACTAAAACTAGAGCTACCAATATGGTCCAGCAATCCCACTAGTGAGTATATAGCCAAAGGAAATGGAATTAGTATGTTGAAGAGGTAT